TTTCTGTACTAAGATGTGTATGTGTTGTTCTTTTTCTCAGTTGTCCCTTAAATGGTTATGATGATAAATCTATCTGGGGGTTGGGGAGAAAGTTGGTTCTCTTTTCTTTTAATAAATGCAGGTGAGCGAGTTACTCAAGATTCAAAATTGGTCCTTATTTTTAAGACCCACCAAATACATGTTTATTTCAAACACATGTGCAGAATTATCTGGGAAAACTCTTGGGGGAGAAATTTTTTTTCTAATTTAAGTACAAGCAGTTGCACTTAGATGTCCAATAAGAAGCACTGCACAAAATGTTTCTCTTGGGATATGTCCCACTTCTTCTAAACCTACTGTTGGGCGCATGAAATACTGTGCACTGCTGAGAACAAAAATGTAATACCGACACCAGGTAGTGATAGTGTCATTAATTACCCTGTTTTTGCAGCTGGAAACTAAAAATGTTTGGGATGAGGTTCAGCTGGGATTCCCTGACTAGAGAAGAGTCACCTAACCAGGCTGTAAACCACATCAAAGTGTGAGCATGTCAGGCACGGTGACAAGTTCATAAAAATAATGTTAAGAAAAAAAATTGAATAATGTTAGGACATTATATAACTATGAAACATTATACTATAAAAATAATATGATTTTCCTAGTTTTGTGTCTTTCTGTTTTCCTTTGATAGAGCGTGTCCATGTTAGGCTTCTGGAACCTTAATGCGAAATTAAGACTCAAGAATCTCCTGTGCTATGGTAAACAAAAATCAGCCAACTGAGTTGAAAGAGACAGTGAGGGTACAAAAATTGTGTCACCATGAGGACATGATATGACACGCCTGGCTTCCTGATCCAGTTGTCAAAGAGTCACCTGACAAAGCACTATGTGTATGTTCGTTTCACCTTTGTGGGTCCATCTGGAGTTGGTGCTAATTAGTGATTGATAGCATATGTTCTGCAGCTCAAGTATGTACTTGAGATACGGTGTGTAACTCAACACCTCAGTTTTGTCATCTATGAAATGGGAATAAAAATATTACCTATGCCATGCAGTTTTTCAGACTACACAATAGTAATGCGTATACAACATGCAGTGCCTGGCCTTGGCCAAGTGCTTACTAAATGTTGGTTATTATTACAAGGCCATTAAAGGATGCAGAACTTTCTATCAGGAAAAGATTACATATACAGGACTCCCCAGAAAATCATGTATATTTTATTGCCTTAAAAAGGTCATACATAGCTAGCCACATCTTGCAGGCATTTAGAGTTGTTACCCTTTTCGTGTATATTATTTAAGGGTAATTGTCCATAATTCCAAGAAGAGACCTGAGAGGTGTGTGGCACAACTGCGTGTGGTGTATTATGGGGCAGTGGTCACCAGGCTCAGGGTTCAGTGAAACTACTCTTTTTTCTCCAAGTTGGTTAGATTTTCAGGCTCTTGAGTATTGCTTGTCCCCAAAGCTTTTGGCTGTCAGGCTTCCTGTTCTTAGAGGTGAGAGAGATCTTGGTTTTCAGGAGCCAGTGAAGTGTGGATATGGGGTATTTGGCAGAAGGGGTTATGTTTTAGGGAATCCTGTACTACCATTGTGAACTGCAGAGTTCCCAGCTCAGGACACTCAGCCTTCGTTCCTCTACTTTCACTGTGTATATGGTTTACCAGATGTCTAATAGTTTGACTTCTTCACATCTACATCATCTCTGTCTCCATAAATGTAAATAGGTCATAAAATGTGAATGAGACTTCCTCACAAATAAAAGTTCTCCCAGGATACTAGCAAATTCATCTCTGGCAGTTTCCTGAGCTAATTAGTTACCCTCCCACAGGTAGAAAAACCACTGGTTCAAAATCCACTGGCTTCCCATATTCCTTATTTTATTTTGGTGAAATTCAGGAAATTTTGAAACGAAATTATTTCTGAACCTGTACATTATCAAACGTCAGAGTAAAATTATCCGAATGCCTCCTTTCCACATGTAGTTCTAATTTCCTGAAGCTAATTTCTTCCTTCTAATTACAAGCACTCCAAGAAGAACTAGTTTTTGTAACTCAGCATGAGAGCAAGTAACTTATTTTTTCAGGCTAAGTTGGATGCAGGAGGCCTCCCAAATCCACCTGAATACAGCTGCTTAAGGTACAAAATAAATGTTCCCTGTTCTGTTGCTATTACTATATTTTTGTGCTAAGGTTCCCAAATAGTCAAAACCTTGCCCTTGATATTTCTGAAGGCTTCTTGTCCCACATACGATAGGTAACATGAGAAGCTTCTTTCTCTTCTTTTTTCTTTTCCCCAAAGGGTAAGATTTAAAATATGAAAGTTTTAACTGTGTGTTAAATGTTATTTTAAAATCACTAGGTTGATTTAGAGATAATTATCAAATCCAAGTGTACTTTCCGGTATCTTGCCGTTTGCTCATGAAAAAAATAGTGTTGTTGAGTATCCTGCTTTACCTTTAAGTGGCTGATGTCTTTCCAGACTGAGCTGTTGTTGTTGTTGTTGTTGTTGTTGTTGTTGCTTTTGTCCCTCGTTCAATAACTATACTGGGAAAGAGAAAGATTAGCATCATATCTCAGGCAGAGCTAGAACATCTTACCGTATTTGCCGGCGTA